GCAACAACTGCACTGACAGTGTAACACAGGTGGCCGCGATGCTCAACGCTTCATGGGCACAGGGCAATCGAAACAGCAGACGACATTAAAACACGTTTTGAGTGTCCCACCAGAGCTGGAAAAGAATGCAAGCAAGCACAAGGCAGCAGGAAGAACTGCAGATCAGCTCAAAGCGCCTGCTTCTCCAGGCTTTGGCCACGCCTTTCAGGCATTCCAGCTTTGCTTCGTGTCATACTTCCGGGCTTCTCTGTCCTTGACCCCGGCGTTCTCCCTGGCTTGAAGTCCTCGCTGAAACCACAAGGAATGTGCCAAGCAAGTCTGGAATATGGCAACCACAGGTTTCCCTTTGCTTTTGGAGAGACGTGATGTCTAAACTATCTCTGCACCTGTCCTGCTGTTTCGGCAGTTTCCGATCGCCGTCGGGTCGGGAAACTTCGTCTTGCATGCCGGAGCCGCCTTCGCCTGCACGCTTCTCCAATTCGCTCTCGCCATGTGCCGCTGTAGATGACCTCCGTCGTAACCCGGGCTCTGAACCGCCTGCCACCAAGTCTTCAACGTCTGAGGCAGTGCCTATTGGGTGTCCTTCGCCCTGCTCCTGCAGCTCCGGTCGGGAAGCGTCTTGCATGCCGGAGCCGCCTTCGCCTGCACGCTTCTCCAATTCGCTCTCCCCAAGTGCCGCTGTAGATGACCTCCGTCGTGACCCGGGCTCTGAACCGCCTGCCACTAAGTCTTCAACGTCTGAGGCAGTGCCTATTGGGTGTGCTTCGCCCTGCTCCTGCAGCTCCGGTCGGGAAGCGTCTTGCATGCCGGAGCCGCCTTCGCCTGCACGCTTCTCCAATTCGCTCTCCCCATGTGCCGCTGTAGATGACCTCCGTCGTGACCCGGGCTCTGAACCGCCTGCCACCAAGTCTTCAACGTCTGAGGCAGTGCCTATTGGGTGTCCTTCGCCCTGCTCCTGCAGCTCCGGTCGGGAAGCGTCTTGCATGCCGGAGCCGCCTTCGCCTGCACGCTTCTCCAATTCGCTCTCCCCAAGTGCCGCTGTAGATGACCTCCGTCGTGACCCGGGCTCTGAACCGCCTGCCACTAAGTCTTCAACGTCTGAGGCAGTGCCTATTGGGTGTGCTTCGCCCTGCTCCTGCAGCTCCGGTCGGGAAGCGTCTTGCATGCCGGAGCCGCCTTCGCCTGCACGCTTCTCCAATTCGCTCTCCCCATGTGCCGCTGTAGATGACCTCCGTCGTGACCCGGGCTCTGAACCGCCTGCCACCAAGTCTTCAACGTCTGAAGCAGTGCCTATTGGGTGTGCTTCGCCCTTCTCCTGCAGCTCCGGTCGGGAAGCGTCTTGCATGCCGGAGCCGCCTTCGCCTGCACGCTTCTCCAATTCGCTCTCCCCATGTGCCGCTGTAGATGACCTCCGTCGTGACCCGGGCCCTGAACCGTCTGCCACCAAGTCTTCAACGTCTGAGGCAGTGCCTATTGGGTGTGCTTCGCCCTGCTCCTGCAGCTCCGGTCGGGAAGCGTCTTGCATGCCGGAGCCGCCTTCGCCTGCACGCTTCTCCAATTCGCTCTCCCCATGTGCCGCTGTAGATGACCTCCGTCGTGACCCGGGCTCTGAACCGCCTGCCACCACGTCTTCAACGTCTGAGGCAGTGCCTATTGGGTGTCCTTCACCCGGTCGGGAGGCTTCATCTTGCATGCCGGAGCCGCCTTCGCCTGCACGCTTCTCCAATTCGCTCTCCCCATGTGCCGCTGTAGATGACCTCCGTCGTGACCCGGGCTCTGAAATGTCTGCCACCACGTCTTCAACGTCTGCGGCAGTGCCTATTGGGTGTCCTTCGCCCTGCTCCTGCTGCAGCTTCCGATCGCTGTCGGGTCGGAAAGCTTCGTCTTGCATGCCAGAGTTGCCTTTGGCTGCATCCGCAGATTGCTGGCTCGACGTCCTCTGACTTGCTCATGCAAATCCCCGCAGGAACTCAATACGCTAAGGCATCGATGGTGCCTTCACGGCACTGCGACCTGCCATGTGCTTCAGTCCCAAAACCGCATGTGAACTGAACTGGCACAGATCGGGGCAGTCACTCAGCTGTGTCTACTGCGAGCATATGCCTCTCTCTATTGCTCTCTAGCGGCTCTATCGCCTTCTGCTCTGCTTGCGTCAGCGAAATCGTGGTTTGTTTGTGCTCAGCCCTTGAGCCGATAAAGCACCTTTGCATATCATTGCTGCATGCACAATACGACCGTCTCAGCTGCCCAAAGCGTCGACTTCGAAAGAGCAACATATTTATCATGGATTGGAGATGATTGGAGGAAGAGGCCAACCTGCAAAAGGATGTGGAGTCATCCATTTTCTACTTGCCACACTCTGCAGCCAAGCTCAATGACCTCGGCAGACAAGCGCGACGCTAGGCTCCTGATCTGCGGCGGCATCGCCCTGCTTGCGTTGCATCTCACTTGCACATGGCAAGCGGCTTTTTGGAGGATTCAAGCTGACAACCGCGAGAAGACAGCCCAGAGCGTAGACAGCGTCGATGCCTGCCTTTACCTTGTTGGACACTGCTGTCAAGTCTTGAGACATGTCTGGAGACCATCCGTTTTCCCCGACATGGAAGGTTATGACGCTTACGAGAATGGAGATGATGAGCGGAACATGCGGAACGTGTCGTGTAGACTGCAGCTGAGAGGCTGTTACCGACCTTAGTTTCCACAATGCAACCAAGTGCGCGTCAGACGCAAACTGTACAATGCGTCGAGGGCGCAGGGACGTCTCGCCGTGTCCTTGAAAGTCAAGTTGGGGGCATCATTGTCGGAGATTCTCGAAAAACATGGGGCCTGTGGGGGGCCAATCGCTTTGCAGCTTGGCCTGTGGTCCACAGCTGGTCGATTTACAACTTGGCGACACAGTTTTCAAAAAAGACCTCCTGATACCAACAAAGTAGCATTGAGGTTTTCGTGCAGCCCGCGAAGTCGAAGACAGGCCACCAAACGGGAAGCGGGGAAGCGGGGAAGTGAAGCGAGCTCTGTACAATCGCAAGTCCATATTCAATATTATTCAAGACGCTCAAAGTCAAGGCACCCACAGCAGCAGAAGCCACAAGACGGCCAGAGGGCAGCAGGCCCAGCTCGATGCGCCCCGAGCCAGATGTCGCCACCAGCAGGTCCTTGGAGACTTTCTTGGATCTGTGAAAAAGCTACTATTCGAGAAGCGCCTCGGAACTCCAGGTCTGTGATGGTCTGTGGATACGTGCCTTCGGCCTGCACCTTCCCTTCGCAGAGGTGTCGCAAAATTGAGGCCATCTCCGACTGGTAGCCCTTGCGCTGCAGCAGGAAGCCCCCTGCATCCAACAGCCCATCAAGTGCTAAACTGCTAAACGTCCCAAAACGTCCCATTCGGCCCAGTCCAAGCCGTGTCTGCCTCCAAGCGGGCTGCTCTTCAACATTCCCAGGCACTCTCCTTCATTCAGCACGAATGTCGGCTGAAGTTTTGAATCACGTGAATCACCTAAGGATCGATGGATCCTTCTCGACTTGGCCCCTTCCAGAGCACCATGTCCGACGTGATTGCCAGAAGAACGCGGCCTGCTTTCCAGTCAGGAGGTCAGCGCAAGCCCACTGCATGCGACATGCCGGACTGCGCATGGGCCTTCAGCTGCTCCTTCGCAGCATCCAGGCTCCTGGAGGAACCGTACTACGAGATACTACAATGTTACTACAAGTACCACCATGAACCTGCCATGAAAACAAAAGTGACACTTCGCGCTCCTGCTCTCGCAGTTCCAACACACGAGTCGGTCCTCGCACACACAGCACAAAGCAGGACGCTGACACCTTCTGTTTCGGTTACACTTCAGTCATTGTTGCCTAGGGCTTGCCACCTTCATGAGCAGTATCCTAAGACACACGAGTAGCCAAACGTACATGGGGTGAGGTCAATAAATTCAAAAGAGCTGACGAAGCTTCTGTCAAGGCCCTACCTGGAGTAGCGACAGCAAATTGATGTAAGGCTGCAGTGCCATATTCGCGAAAACCGAACACAAACACTACACGCCTTCGAGGCGCAGGTTTGCTGAGAGCAGGCGAGTTGGCGGACCCCTGACAATTCGAAGAGGAAGCAGATGATGCTACTGGCACAGCCATGGCAGCTACGGCAGCTACAGGTACAGCCGGCACAGCTGCGAGGTGCGAGGACCTCAGAGCAAGAGAGGCCCCCAGTCCGAAGATGTCGCAACCGCGCTCTGTGATGGGCAGCGCCATAGACAAGCGGGCTCCTGTTCACACCCATTCAGAACAGTGGCTTCAATATCACTGAGTACAACGCACAAAGTCATTTAAACACAGTGCAACTGAACTTGCACTGGTCCTTGCGTCGCTTTCATGTAAGGCGGACAGATGCCCGGAAAGTCCGTCGGCAAACCTTTGCCAAATTCAGCCCCAAGCTCCACCAAGTGCTCCTCATGCCCTGCGTACTACGCTTACTGCACTGTACCTTGAAGAGAGATTTCGGGAAGGTCTTCCGCAGCCCTTTCCTCTGTGAGCAGCTTGTCAATCGCAATCGTCGCTTGCTGTTGAAACCTCAAGCTTTTCGACCCCGGCTACTTCGGCGGACTCAACTACCCTGAAACTAAGTCACTCCGACTTCTGGCAGGTGTCATCGGGCTCCGGGTCCTGGGTCGCGCATGGTCTAGCCTTTCCGCGTGTTACTTGGAGCTGTTCTGAAGGTGTTTAGAGGCGGCCAGTTCTGTGCGACTCAGGGGCAGGGGTACCAGCACATGGCCAACCTTCGTCAGGTTCTAGGTGGATTTCGCGATGCGACTTGGTGCAAGAAATGCGAAATCCGTTTTTGCTCAGGTTCCCATGCCCTTTTGATGTCTTTGCGACGCTTTGATGGCATTCCCCTCGAAGGTATCTTTGCCCGTGCCGATGAAACGAAGAGCCATGGAGTGGCTCATGAGCCTCCACCTCCATGGACTCAACTCGATTCGGTACTCGACAATGGCTCGATCTTCGAATCAGTTACAGCAGCCTCGTAGCGCCCACCGCCGCGATATGTGATTCTTGTGCAGTGCTTTTTGGAAGGGCCCAAAAAAACGAATGTGCTTCTGAGTCTTGCAAACAACCTATAGCATGACATTTTTCACCAGTCAATCCTCTGAAGGCATGATGCCATGCTTGTGTATGTACTGCATCTGCTGCTAATGCCTCCCGATTTGGTTCTGGAACATGCTGATTCCACCTGCGTTACATGTTGTCAAGCCCCACTTGCACATAGTGCAACAGAATGGCACGGAAGTCTCTTGGGGTCGCGCAGTTTCTCCCACTTCCAAAATCCTCCACAGCGCCATCGTGATCACTGCGAGGAGGAAGAACAGCATCTGCAAGCGGCATGCAAATGCTTTTCCAGCAATGCGGAGTGCTCTCCACCAAAGTGTTCACGTATGTTCATGTGCCACGGCCCGCCATCAAGGCGCGCATCGCCGCCAAGGTCAGGAAGCCGTCAAAGTGGAATGATTCCAACACATCTGCCTAGCGAATTCCAGCAACAGCATGACACACTCGCCAAGCAACTGTTTCGGGATCGGTGAGGCGTGAAGTCGCACACTTGAGTGTTTTGCTCTTTGGCCGCCCTAACCTGCACGGCATCTCGTGGAACTACCGAATCACGAAGGGTCTCAGCAAGAACCTCTCGACACAGCACCTGGGCTCGAAAAGCTTTGATCATAAGCTTTCCCATCCTGTTCCGATTTGCCCAATTCCATTGCACTTGATTTGAGCATAAGGCCGGCAAAGCTGGCATCCGCTGCACGCCTGTCACGGCTGAAGCTGCGGCAGATACAGCATGAGAAGTACAGCAGGAACGAACAGAGGATTGTTTCGGACTGAAGTTTGCCTGCAGGCCTAATAACCTAGAAGCGATCGAGCTTGTTGACCTGTCTAAGCGTGAGCCAGTTTTGTGTTTCAGGGGTTTCGGAGCAGCAGCAGACGCAGCAGTGGCAGTGAGAGCAGCAGCGAGAGCAGAAGCAGCGAGAGCAGCAGCAGGAGCAGCAGCAGGAGCAGCAGCAGCAGCAGCAGCAGCAGCAGCCGCAGCAGCAGCAGGAGCAGGAGCAGGAGCAGGAGCAGCAGCAGGAGCAGCAGCAGGAGCCGCAGCAGCAACAGCAGCAGGAGCAGGAGCAGCAGCAGGAGCAGCAGCAGGAGCAGCAGCAGCAGCAGCAGCAGCAGGAGGAGCAGCAGCAATAAAACCTATGGTGGTAACAGTAGGTAGCAGTAGTATATAATGGTCAATTTTTAAGAGGAGCAGCGGCCGTGAGCAACTCAATCTCAGCAAGCAGCTTGAAAGGTACAAAACCCTGAAGCGCTCGTGCAAGGTGACGGAAGGGAGTGACACTCCACACATCTCCACTGAATTCCAGCCGTTAACCATTCGTGTGCCTGCAACTGCTGTGCAGTACTTGCATCGACAGGCGCTGGGGCTGCTGTCTTCTCTGACTTCCGGTCTAGGTTCTGCCTTCACGTACAGTGCTACACTGAAATTTACCGTTGCTGCACCTAGCGGGCATGCTGACAATGCTCACTGCTGAGCTGATGTCGCATGAAATGTCGCGGTACGGTTTCCGCTTGACAATTGAGCCAACAGAAGTTCGTACGGGGGTGGCTTTCATTTCAGCAAGCACAACAAACCAGCAAAGCACCTCATTGATGAGAACATGTGCCGCATCGTGCAGCTGAAGCGTTCGAATGTGCCTTACGGGATCAGGAGTGGGCCTCATGCGGTCCACGTTTATGTCTTTGAAACTTGGCTTGAAGCTTCAGCACTCAAGGCTCTCTTCTCAGACTTCGGTATTCGCAGGTGTGGCTATCGTGCATTTGGGGCATATGACGTTCGTGACAAAAGCTGTCAGACTGCAGGCGCCATGGCAACCCGGCGACCCCTTCACTCTGCATGGGCCCCCTGGCGCTTGCTGAGCTTCCTTTGTGCTTTCCCGCTGGCACAAATGCTATGTGCACCGGCCGTGCAAGAAATGAGGAAAAAGGCTCTTGTCAGCCTTCGGAATGAACACCATCCCGTTTCACGGTGAGTGGCAAACTCCAGCAAAAACAAAGAGCGCACCGGCGGCCAAGGCAGGCCAAGGCAGGCCAGGGCAGGCCTTCAGGGCCCTTTGAGAGCAGCTACCACCGCATCACCTGGCACAGGGAGCAAGGCAGTCACAGCTCTCGCCGGCTCCCGCTACAAATTGAGGTCAAGCGCCGCGAAACCCGCAAACCCAAGCAAACCAAATGCAATGACACATTGAAAGGTAGCCCGCAAAAAAAAAACAGATATCGAGATCATCCCACAGTCCCACAGACTGTCTTACTTTTCTGTATAGAATGCCCGCTGCTTGGTACATGTTACTCTCGAAGGCATTACTCGACACCCGAACTCACCAGCCTCCCAGATGCCCTTCGTCACCCGCCACAGCCAACCACGAAGATGTACATCACCAGTCTCGACCACCTCCCGTTGCCTTCACCACCTTCGGCCACACATCGGCCACCCATCCATGCGTCCACCCTGCCCTGCCCATCGACCACCCGTGCCGACATGATCTCGCTCGCCCCATTCGCCCTTAAGCCCGCCCATCGCCCCCCCCTTTTCTCGCTTCACCCTTTGCTGTTCAATCGTCGCTTTTCTGAATAGAAGCGATGTGGCACAACGCACTCGACTTGCACTGCCTGGCCTACTGCGCTGGTCGACACAGCGGTCCCGCGCTTTGATTCTTCCAGAAGATCTCCTGTCAGTCTCCCTGACCTGGGCCGGGTGAGCCGAGCAAGCTGGTGCACGCACGTGCACACGAAACACTTAACGCCTCTACGCCCTTCTCCTCACGTCCCCTCAGCGTCCAGGCTTCAAAACTTCTTCGCAGGCGGCCTCAATTGTGGCTGCCTCCGCCTCCAATTGGAAGGAATACCTCCACGCTGACAGAGCCCGGTTAGTGGCAACTGGTTGCATGTGGGAGTGTATGGACTCAACTTACAGGGTCTTTGGTCGGAAGCTCTCGCCCAGAGCTCCTGCTGCATCGCATGACTGCATGCGACAAATGATGCAAATGAGCCTCAGCATCATGGCACCGCTCAAAATTTGTGCGATGGGATTCGCTACCCCTTTGCCTTCCAGCAGTCGGCTTCGCCAAAAGCTTTTTCAAAGCAGAGCATGATGCAGCGCGTTAAGGTTGTTTCTTTGGCTGATCTCTGGCCTGCTATGTCTGGAGCGCTGCCTCCGCTTGGCTCGTACATGTGCAGCCCATCGCCCAAAGATGCTGAAGGCCTCGGTTGACTCAACTGATGGAAAGCTGCTGCAGATGCAGGCGCAAGCTCTTCAGGCATACTGCAGCATACTCGTTCTCTGAGTGGCATGAGCCCAAGTGAACCCGGAAGCACACTTGCTGCATCGGACAGGATGTCGCCAAACATGTTCCTGCTGTGCACGGCTCTGCCACGTCAGCTCAGAACGGTCGCACGAATATTGGCGCAACTGCAGGCAATCCCACAACATGACTTTACGGTCCCCGTCGCAACTACGTCGAAAAAAGATGGCTTCTGGATAACCTGCATGCACGCGTTGTCTATGTACCTGGGAAGCACGAACAGGAATCATGGACTCTTGTCACCTTCACTGCTCCATACGAGACAGCGAATTTGCTTGCTCGTGCAAGAGAACAAAGCAAGAAATACAACAATAAAACAAGCGCACAAAAGATCTAGTTCGCACTAACTTTGTATGTGATGTGGATTCTACATACGGTTGAAAACATAGCAGCAAGTTAAGCGACCGGATAACCCACGAGGCTCCACGAGTGTTTGTTTCTTGGGTTGCCCTCCTGTGACGAGTGGTGGTGCGTCGGGCGGTGTGTATTTCGGCTTGCTTGGCATGTAAGTGAGCTCGGCATGATGGTGCGTGATGATGTGGTGCGGCGCAGCTTTCTGTGTGTCCGTGTGTCCGTGTGTCCGTGGGTCCGTGTGTCCGTGTGTCCGTGTGTCAATGTGTCCGTCTGTCCGTTGTGTCCGTGGTGTCTGTGGTGTCCGTGGTGTCCGTGGTGTCCGTGGTGTCCGTGGTGTCCGTGGTGTCCGTGGTGTCCGTGGTGTCCGTGGTGTCCGTGGTGTCCGTGGTGTCCGTGGTGTCGGTGGTGTCTGTGGTGTCCGTGGTGTCCGTGGTGTCCGTGGTGTCCGTGTGTCCGTGTGTCCGTGTGTCCGTGTGTCCGTGTGTCCGTGTGTCCGTGTGTCTGTGTGTCTGTGTGTCTGTGTCTCTGTGTCTCTGTGTCTCTGTGTCTCTATGTGTCTGTGTGTCTGTGTCTCTGTCTCTCTGTGTCTGTCTGTGTGTGTGTGTGTGGCTGTGTGTCTGTGTGTGTCTCCGTGTCTCTGTGTCTCTGTGTCTCTGCGTCTCTGTGTCTCTGCGTCTCTGTGTCTGTCTCTGTGTGACTCTGTGACTCTGTGACTCTGTGACTCTGTGACTCTGTGACTCTGTGACTCTGTGACTCTGTGACTCTGTGACTCTGTGACTCTGTGACTCTGTGACTCTGTCTGTGTCTCTGTCTGTGTCTCTGTCTGCGTCTCTGTCTGTGTCTCTGTCTGTGTCTCTGTCTGTGTCTCTGTCTGTGTCTCTGTCTGTGTCTCTGTGTGTGTGTGTGTGTGTGTGTGTGTGTGTGTCTGTGTGTGTGTGTGTGTGTGTGTGTGTGTGTGTGTGTGTGTGTGTGTGTGTCTCTGTGTCTCTGTGTCTCTGTGTGTGTGTGTGTGTGTGTGTGTGTGGTCTGTGTGTGTGTGTGTGTGTGTGTGTGTGTGTGTGTGTGTGTGTGTGTGTGTGTGTGTGTGTGTGTGTGTGTGTGTGTGTGTGTGTGTGTTTGTGTGTGTGTGTGTGTCTGTGTGTCTGTGTGTCTGTGTGTCTTTGTGTGTGTCTTTGTGTGTGTGTCTGTGTGTGTGTGTCTGTGTGTGTGTGTCTGTGTTTGTGTCTGTGTGTGTGTGTGTGTCTGTGTGTGTGTGTGTGTGTGTGTGTGTGTGT